AAATTAAATATATATTTAATTATGTCTAAAAAATTTAATTATTAGTAAGAAATTGAAAAATTATGTTAATCAAAAACTTTATGAAAATTAATTTATTTTCTAATTATTTTTTTAAATTTGTTTAAATAAAAATTTAATCAAAAAAAAGTACTTTTAATTTCTTCTGTATATTTCTTCTGTACATGAAATAATTGATGGTGAAACTTAATTTGTATTTGCTTTGTGTATTTAAGTAGCTTCCTTCCTTTATGTAAATACATTGTCTCAATGTACAATGTGATAATTCTACCGGAGCTTGCTAAGAGACCCATTTTATGAGACGCTATTGGGTCGCAACAGTTAGTGGGAAGATAAGCTGCACAATTTATATTCAGACTATGTCCGCGATTATAATTTGTATTTTTTTGACCTAAATAGTAAAATAGTTCTCAAAACAACAAATAACACAAAACATGATGATTATTAATCACTGAGAGATCAGACACCAAATCTAACATTAATGTAGATAATAATAAGGAAATCAAATTAAAAAAAAGTCGAGAAAGAACATTCGTATTTGTAATCGTATGCTTTTTACTTCACAAATTTCCCGAGATAAACTTTGTATTTGCATATCTGGTGTCTAAAAAATTCTGCTAGTATGAGCGTGCTATAATGGTGGATAAGGGTTTCGTATATAAAGAAAGAAACGATACCTTGCAGTGTCAGACTTTCAGTATTCTAGTTCAGAACAAAGGCAGACAATGGCTCCAACGCAAATAATCTTATTGCTCGCAGTAATCAGCATCAGTTCGGGATTGCCAGCCAAAAGTCATCGTGGATCCCATGGCCATTCTATACCGCCTGAGCCACGATTCAATGGAGTTTTCGATCATGATCACAATCACGAGAAAATTGGTAATTAAATTTTTAACAAGTTTGACAGATTTATATTGAAGTTTTGAAATAAAAATTGATTTTACTCGAGATCGTTTTATTTGTAATAAGTATAATGATTGCGAAAAGCACTTGGTTAAATCTATAATTTTATATTTTTTTCTCTTCTAGCTAGTAACATTAAATCATGGAGTCCGAATAATTTACAAAATGTTTGGGAATTGAGCGGTTTATATGAAGGTGATATAATGATTCATCCAGATAGTCCAATGGATAGTCCGTGGAAAAATGGTCTTTTAGATGCTACAGCACGATGGCCTGATGGTGTCGTGCCTTATTTTATACAAGAAGATGATTTTGGTAACTCTTCATGTTTTTTTGTATAATCGTAATAACAAAATAATATTGCTTTAAATATTTCTAATTAACATTACAGATATCCATTACATTTAAACTTAACGAGTAATTTTACTAATGTTAATTAATTTTTACCTTATTATTTGTATCATCTCTTTCCAAAAGTAGAACTAGAAAGAGTCAAAGAAACTTGTTTAAACTCAGATTAATGTTAAACTACGTTATTTGTGTTGTGTGTGTGTGAATTATCAGTGATTTGTTATACTTTTAAAAACTTATTTTTGATTCAAAAGATTCAATTATTCTAAAAATCATTAACATTTATAGATCGCGATCAAATCGAATTGATAAAAGAAGCCATGCAGGAGTATCATGAAAGAACCTGCTTGCGTTTCCAACCTTACAAGGATACCGATGACGACTATGTGACGATACAAGCAAAAGATTCAGGGTGCTGGTCCCTGGTGGGTCGTCACGGTCATGGACAAGTATTGAATCTACAGAATCCGGGATGCATACATCATGGTGTTATTGTGCACGAACTCATGCATGCCTTAGGCTTTTACCATCAGCAGAGCGCCGCGAATCGAGACGAGTGGGTCACCATACATTGGGAGAATATTAAATTGGGTAATGTATCTTAATAATGTTGACAATGTGTTTTGTGCTGTAATCAATTTATATTGATTTTTTACTTCTTCAATTATAAAATTGTATATTTCTTAATAACTATAATTTTTCATAATAAAGATAAATTATAATAACTTAAATAAATTATAATTATAATAACTATAATTTTTATCAATGATAATTTTTCATGAATGTTTAAAACGGTCTTTGAACACTGTTGAACAACACTTCAACACTTCATATCTTCGAGTCAAAATGGCGTCAACATATTCTTAGGATGGATGCTCTTGTATAACGCATGAATAAAATTTTAATATATTTTTGCAGGTAAAGAGCATAACTTCAATAAGTATGACAATCGCACTGTCACCGATTATGGTATCGGCTATGATTACAAGAGTGTCATGCACTATAGCTCCTACGCGTTCTCCAAGAATGGAGAACCTACTATTACGCCGAAGGTAATATAATCGTGCGGCATTCGCAATATCCCTATTGATTTCGGTCTGCTGTTTATGTTTATGCTATTTCATAGAAAGAGAAGGTGCAACTTGGTCAGCGAGATGGACTCAGCGAAAAGGATGTAATCAAGGTCCAAGCAATGTATAAAGAACAATGTGGCAATCGAAACGGGGGCCATTCTTCTGAATCTTCTGAAGAGATTTCTATAGGATGGTTTTTCGAGTAAATTTATGATAAAAACATATTTTTAAATAATCGGATTCTAATATAATAAAGCACGGATACATTACATGCGCACTCGAAAACGCGGGTGCGCGCGCGAACACATACACACACACAAAATATGTATATACATTCATATAGTATATGGTATATATATATATATATATATATATAGTGACTGTACTCGCAAGCAACGGCACAACTTCGTTGTGTCCTCTGTTTCACTCTAATTATACGATAGCTTTATATTTTGACACAATTTACTTTAAGGGGATGCTGGAGTTACCGATGGAACACTCATTTCGTATTTCTCGTGCCATTTCGTTTTCTTTATATACAGGGTGACCCATTTTAACTTAGGCAGCCAAATAACTCGAAAACTAAATCCAATAGACAAAAATGTTTCAAATAAAAATGGAACGGTATCGAGGGGGACACGTTTTAGTCACGTTGTTTTTTTCCTAAGTGGAGGCGCTAAAAAGATATGAAGGTCACCTCCACTTTTTTAAATGGAATTATGTAATTTTTTATAGATAACGTGATTCCTCTAATTATTTTGCATATAAAAGTATTAAGGTAGAGATACCAAAAAACCAATAGTTTTCGAGATATTTTACACTTTATTTTGGTACATATTGACACAAAATGTTAAATAACTCGTAAACTGTTAACTTTTTGATTATCGTACCTTAATACTTTTGTGAACAGAATAATGAGATAAATCAAATGGTGTAAAGAAAACACATAGTTGCATATTTAAAAAATTATCCATTTTGTATACATATTTTTTTTAAAGCAACTATGTGTTTTCTTTACACCATTTGATTTATCTCATTATTCTGTTCACAAAAGCATTAAGGTACGATAATCAAAAAGTTAACAGTTTACGAGTTATTTAACATTTTGTGTCAATATGTACCAAAATAAAGTGTAAAATATCTCGAAAACTATTGGTTTTTTGGTATCTCTACCTTAATACTTTTATATGCAAAATAATTAGAGGAATCACGTTATCTAAAAAAAATTACATAATTCCATTTAAAAAAGTGGAGGTGACCTTCATATCTTTTTAGCGCCTCCACTTAGGAAAAAAACAACGTGACTAAAACGTGTCCCCCTCGATACCGTTCCATTTTTATTTGAAACATTTTTGTCTATTGGATTTAGTTTTCGAGTTATTTGGCTGCCTAAGTTAAAATGGGTCACCCTGAAGAATAAAAAATTCTTTTCCAGAATAAAAGGGAAAACACAAACAAATCCGGAAAAATCCAAATCGATATGAGAATCCCCCAAAAATTACCACGTAGGTTCTTTTTTCACATATATACAAGGTGTCCCAGTAACTCTGTTGCAAGGCAATATCTCTGTTACCGTTAATGATACGCGAAAATGTCTAAGGAAGAAATTGTTTGGTTCGAAGGGGAACATGTATTGGTCACCTTGTTTCTTTTCTAGGTGGAGGCGCTAAAAAGATATGAAGGTCAACTCCACTTTTTTAAATGGAATTATGTAATTTTTTTTTAGATAACGTGATTCCACTAATTATTTTGCATATTAAGGTAGAGATACCAAAAAACCAATAGTTTTCGAGATATTTTACACTTTATTTTGATACATATTGACACAAAATGTTAAATAACTCGTAAACTGTTAACTTTTTGATTATCGTACCTTAATACTTTTGTGAACAGAATAATGAGATAAATCAAATGGTGTAAAGAAAACACATAGTTGCTTTAAAAAAAATATGTATACAAAATGGATAATTTTTTAAATACGGAACTATGTGTTTTCTAAGGTTTTTCCCTTTGGCCTACGGCCTTTCCTCCACCTCTACGGAGCTTAGCGCCTCTGTGGATGCCTCGTCCAGACAGATTCATCGCCTGGTGTCACGTCTCTCTCCGAGACATCTGCAGTTACGATGCGATAACCAAAGCTCCATAACAAGGTATTAAACAGAATATGAAAATGTACGACCTGCGTGTACCGCGCTTCCCGACAACGCAGCCTGGATCCCCTTGAATCGCTACTTTCTTCTTCGGTACGAAGTCTTCTTTCTTCCACTAGTGAGTGAGGCGGCAAGAAATACACAAACCTAACGCAGCCACCGGTTACGTCCAAATATGAACTCAAAATCGTTGTGAAATTAGCTGAAAAGTGACTAACTTATCGTATATAAGAAATATAATTTTCGCACATTCGCTAGTGCTCTCGTCCTTTAAGCCTGGACGACCCAGGATCTCTGCGTAAATTCCGCGAAAAGTGATTGACAAAAAATGTCACGTTACATTGTGTGTGTGTGTGTGTGTGTGTGTGTGTGTGTGTGCGTACGTGCGTGTGTGTGTGTGAAATATATTTTTATATCTTTAGATTAAAATACACTTATTATTTTATTACTGATTTTATAAAAATACTTTACCACAATTAAATGTATTATAATTATCAGTCTGTGTGTTAAAAAAATAAAGTATTTAATTTGAATGCATTATAAGATTTATCGAGTAACAATAGTACTGAAAATTGGTCCCTAACAATCTACTTATGTTCCATCATAAGGCAATATAAACCGACAAGGTTTTTTTTTAATTATAATACGTTAATTGTTTCAATTCATTCACAGCTTTCTCCGCTACCTAAAATAATATTTATCATACATTATACAAAATATCACATAAAAATATTGCACTTTTTATTAACTTACATGACGAACGTGTTCATCTTCATCTTCAATTAAGTCCTCCATGGCATCTTTTAATGACTTGTTCCAGGTCTGTTGTAACGCTCTACAGCAAAATCTACCTAACAATCTGATCATAGTACATGTCCTTGCTCGTAAAACAGTTTGTCGATGATTGAGAAGTTTGTTAAGTTGCTCCACCGAAGCTCCTTCAAGAAATTTCATATAAATTTGTAATAAAAATAATGACGTAAGATAAAAAATAATTCACAATCAGCTCACCAGGTGTTTTTGTACGCAGCACGACTTGTTCCACAAGCTCGGCATTCTCAGGTTGAGATCGTAGAACGTTATTTAAAATAGCAACAAGATCTGCAACGATTCTTGCCTTTCTTTTTTCTAAAGTTAGTAGTTGTTGTAGAAGTAGCATTCCATTCACGATGTAAATAGCGTCGCAAAATTGCATGAGAAATTGATTCTCAATATAAACCAATCTACAAAGAACTAGTATCACGCATTCAAGTGCTTGAAGTTCATCAGCGGATAAAGAAGATGCTAACCTCGTTCCCATGTTCATTGTATTTGTCGCATTCAATTCGTTATCGGAACGTTCCGACATTAATAGCTTTATGGCATAAACAAGATTTGGTACTACTCTCACATCTAAATACACTTGTTCAATTTTTTTGAGATTCTCCTTACTGACTGACATGGTAAATGGTAATGATAATAAACAAGTTAAATATTCGATAACTCTACAGCCAGCTGCTGGATTTCTTAAAGGAGAAACAAATACTGAGACGCAATTTTGTTGCAATAAGGAGTCAATCTCACCCTCCATAACTTCTTCCATTGATCTTTGTAAAAATGCAATCCATTCTTCATTTTCAATTGGTCTCTCTACTGCTCTTGGATCCCAATCAGGCAATCTCGTGTGTTTTTCAGTCAATTTTCTATCACCAAATTCTTGTTCATAATCAATGCTCAAGCACTTTTTGCAATCACCATCGCCATGTACAATTTGATCTATGTGTGAAGATTTTTCGATTTGTTGACCTACATTAATTCCATCACCTTGAGCATTTGTGTGATACATTTCCTTATTCAACTGTCGTACAGAATGACTATAATCCATTTGTGTTTGAGCAAGTTTTGAGTAATCATCTTGTATTGGAAAATTATGCTGCATGTCTATGTTATGTGAGTAATCACTCTGACACAGAGCATGATCTGCAGCTAAAAGATCACTTCTCAGAGATGCTCTAAGACTGAGATTTCCTAAGAGTACATCAATACTAGCGCTGGAATCAGTGCCACTTGGTTCACTGCGACGTAATGCTTGACAATGATTTATCATATGATGACAATAAGCAGGAGGCATCAGATAACCCGGTTGTGAAATACATGTTCGTTGCCGATACTCATATTGTCTTCTCTCTTGTTCTTGTATTTTTTTCATTGCTTTCTTCACAACTCTGTATAAAAAAATTTAATTATCCATGTATATACAATACATGCATTAAGTATGCATTAAGTATTCTACTGTAATGGGTAAAATATCGAATATTTTTTTGCATTTTTCACAAATATGTTATGAAAAATAAATATATAAATTTCACTCCAATTCATAAAACTACAAAGTTACGTCAGCTAGAAGGGATAGATTTATGACTCGCTGAGCGGGAAAAATGTATAATAATAGTACAGTCTCGGGAAGTAAGTATATTTCGGCAAAATTCGTGTAGCTATTATTCTAGGACTAATAGGGACTTTTAAAATATAAAGGCTCGACCATGAGACATTTAGTTATACAAATGCAAAATAATAATAAATCGTTAAATTTATCTCTCTCAATCTGAACTTTTGCTCCATAGCGCATTCATTCAGAGTCAAAAATTGTAGAAATTACCAATTTCTTAGTAGTAATAATATTTAATGAAAGCTTTTTGCCACTCTTAAAAATAATGAGTATTATGGGAACAACTATTGATCAACGAACAGAGATATACGTCCACTCACAAAACGATATTCAGCCGTTTGAAGCAACGTTCGAGTAAGCAAGAATCGATGGCCGAAAAAGAAAATAACAGCGAAACATGTTCAAGCAAGAGGGAAGTCTCTTCTACGGTGGATCTGATTAATAATAAATAAAATTTTCTCTCTGTGCGCGCGTGCGCACACACACACACAAACCGTAAAATTTGAACGCGGCTTTTTTAAAATTGTATTTTTCGAATTGGCTGCCATGATATCTTAAGATCGACTTGATTAAGTGAGCTCAATTTATGCATACATTTTCGGCACATGTAGCTATCATCCCTACCATGATTACATTAAAATATTAATTTTTTTTTCATTTTTACAATCCTTTAAAGATATAAAAAATTTCCAAAAATCGAAACTTAATTTTCAAAATAACATTTTTTAATTTTCGATATTTTTCTTTCATTCTAGTACCTACTATAGATAAAAAAACATACCCACTAATTAAGAATCATTTTGAAATTTTTGCTTCAATTAAGCAATGAACTGGCCCAGTCATGGACGTCATGAGCAAAGGTTTTTTTTCATTGATCACTTTAAAGCGATCTACTGTGTGTATGAGATAATAATTTTAATTTTTTTTACGTAAAAATTCTTACATATTGTTTAAATTTTAATAAATATATAGAAAAAAACTTGGCATCCCAATAACTTTTATAGATTCCTCATAAAAAATTTCGAAAAAATGCAAAAATAATATCTGTTACAATAGAATACTCCCTTAAAGAAATAATTAAATTTAATACTTGGATTGATTTGCAGCACGCATCGCTAAACTTTGTAACTGTTGCTGCTTTGCTCTTGCTTGGCTCGCAGATAGCGGATTTGTAAACGGAGTAGGTACAGTACCATCTACTATTACAATTCGATCCTTGACAAATAGATGTTGGAGAAGAGCGGGCCAAGTTAATCGTTGAGAAGGATCTTTCTGAAGTAAACCCTGAAATTGAAATGATAATGACTTATTTGAAATTATGATAACAAACTTGCAGCAAATATCACAATAAATAATATTAAATACTAAAGACCGTTAATGTAAGAATATAATACAAATACGAAGCCTATAACAGTCTAGCTTGGATTTTTTAATCGCTTACATATAAACTACCGCGGTACTATTACGAATTAAAATTAATTAATAATTAACTAATATACGTAGTCCCCCCAAATTGCGCGCCGAATAATCGTCGGTCTTGAAACACAACTCTAATAATCTGAAAATACTAAATCTGGAAAATTATTCTTACTGCGAAAAATATTACCTTACCGGGAGATATTCTTATAGGCTTCGAATTAGTTATGTTATCATAATAAATATTTTTACCTGTAGAAAGCTTTTGCAAATTGGAGAAATAAAATCTGGCCATTTTATTTCTTCAAACCTAATCAACTTAATCAGATGCAAAATTGAATGAGTTTGAAATGGAGGAGAACCAACTACCAATTCATAAACTATACAGCCTAAAGACCTGAAAGTACAATTAATTATAAGATGTACTTCCTACATAAATAAATCAGAAATAATATATATTTAAAATATTTATATGACTGTGCATTTACCATAAATCAGCATTATGATCATAAGGACATTCTTCTACAAGTTCAGGGGCCATGTACAATGGTGTACCTTTGATTGAAGTAAGTACATGAGTACCAGTGCTCATACTACGAGCAAATCCAAAGTCGCATAGTTTAGTTATACCGTTTGCTTCCAGGAGAACATTTTGTGGTTTCAGATCTCTAATAATATTAATACAATTATTATGATGAAATATTATAAGCCATTCTTTGTTTGCAATTAAATTAGATACAAACCTGTGCATTACCCGATTTGAATGTAAATAATAAAGCGCTGATACTAAATCACAAGCTATTACTTGTGCTCTTTCCTCAGACAATCTAACTTCCTTAGCCAGTATGTCATTCAATACTTTATCAACATATTCTGTTACAACCACAATCTAAATCAGATATTTTACAGAATCTCTAAAATATATTTACCTTATAAACATAATTCTTTTCAGATTCAACATACTTCATTTTCTGTTTCAAATGAATCTAACATTTGCACAATATTTGGATGTTGCAGATAACGTTGAATCTCACACTCTTGACGTAAACTCTTGAGCTCCGTAGATGATCTGCCACACTGCAGAATAAATATATCAAGGCATTGATCATGAAGCAAAAAGAAAACGGACAAGTTATTTATAATAGCGTTTTTTACTGACATAGTGCTAGTGCACATTCAGTGTACTTTAATACCTTTGTATACAAATCAATATATGTTTAATAAAAATAAAAAATGAGTAAAACCGTAAAATCTTCAATATATTTATTATTGTGTTATTTAACAAAATACACAATAGATATTTTATCAATTGAGATATCTCACTTTAACATCAGATTAGAGTAATGTATAACGACTTTAATGTGCACTGAGTGCACACTAGCATTGCCAGTAAAAAATGTTATAAATCTCACTTATTTCATATATCAAGTCAATATACCTTCCTTATCATTTTAACAGCCACAAATTCACCATCTACACGTTTTCTAGCTTTATACACTTGTCCAAAAGATCCCTCACCAATAGGCTTCAGAATCTCATATCTTTTCATTTTGGAACTTTCATATTTCGTCATTTTGTTGATGTATTGATAATGTCAAAAAAGTCTGTTTTTTTATTCTTATTGCACTGTACTGTTAATTATACTGCATATAGAACTTTCTTCCTCGTCTTCGCCAAATATCAAACACATATTTATCTTACCATAAGTTCCTTAAAAAAACACAAATTCACTGCTTTAAATGCACAAATTCTCTACATTAGCGGTTTTTGTTTGTATAACAAAGAATTTGTATAATTAAAGCAGAACGTATACATAGCGTTATATCGAGTCGAAGTGACAGATATCTTAACCCCTAAAATCTTATAACCAATTCATGAATTCAGTCGCTTGCAGTGCTTGCACTAGTGTACACAGAGTGCAAATTTTCCCAGTGCAAAGTGCAACCTGGTGCAACGTGCAACGTGTTCGATTGGCCTAGAGTCCCTATAATATAGGGACTCTAGATTAAGATTGGCCTAGACCTCTGCGCCGTTTTATTTTATATCGGCGGCGAGATTTGAGGTAAAATAGTTCGGGGGCGGCGGCGTAAATTTCAAAATTGGCGACGGCGAAACCGGCGGACGATAATTTATCGACGGTGGCGGCGCACAGTGGGCGGAAAAGCTCTCTTTGTGAACAAAATTCGACCGACGCTCTAATTCTTAACCAATTTTGATGTTTTTTTAAATTCTCTAAATTTAATAAACTACTTTAAGCTTATTGTGCGTAAATTTGAATTACGATCTGAATTAAAAATGGCTGATCCCTTTTTGACTATATATAACGAACCAAAGAGAAACCTGAGAGGACATGACGGTATAAATTATCACTTGGCTGTCACTTAAATGTTTTTCTTATTATAAATTGAATTTTATTGACCTTTTCACCTTAACCTTAAATTCATATATCAAATGTATACTGCAGCTGAAGCTGTATATGGGACGGCACCCTTAATTCGCTTGTGAGCGTATTTTCCCTCCCTACAGTCATGCGCATTACCAACTACGATCATCATCTATTCTTCTCTATCTATCTACTCGCAATTACTTTCAAGAGACTATGCTCCTTCCAGTATATGTTCTAAAATTATTACTTATAGATCTAACCAATCATATTCAATCGCTCGGCAAGCTTAGCCACTTTGCCATTATTTTGAAAGAGAGAGGCGCATGTTACGAAACGATTAGATGCTGCCAATCACTGCCCCAGCATCCGAGAATGGATTAAAATGGGTTGGACATTTTGTCTATTCGAATTCGTATTTTAAACAGCGAAAACTTTTTTTGGATTCGATTGGATTCAATTGGATTCAATTATAGATTCATTTGGATGCAACTGGATTGAAAAACTGCGTTTTCTATTAAAAATTTTGAATTATACAGTATTTTCACTATGGTCACAAACGCACTGAAAAAGCTGATATTATTTTTAGATTGAAAGATATACAGATATGCTTCATGCAATTCCTATAAATGAATAAAAATGTATTCGGATTGAAAAGGATTCATTTTAACATTCATGAATTCGTGTATTTCTGAAAATCTGAATCCATTTTAATCTATTTCAATCCAATCTCAGATACTGGGGCGCTATATGGGCTTTAGTCCAAAAATATAGATACAGTCAGTCAAGTAAGAGCGTGGTCGACTTTGCTAACAGGTAATAAAAGATTTCGCTCTAATTCCTTCGTGAGCCTATAGAGGGAAGCTTTGTCCTTGATGCATTGTCAACAAAGATTCAGTTGTCGTTGATTTTTTGGAAGAGAAACACGTTAAGCGTCATGAGTGCTAAATACGCGTCGCGCTACGAGGCTGTGTTCCTTTGCACCTATCCGAGAGGTCCAAAAATGTCGCAATTAGCGGCTGCTAAATACATGAGAAAGTCGAAAGCATTTGTACAGAAGTGGATACAGCGATATAAAGTGGCAAAAAATGTCGATGATTTACCAGAACGTGGCTCGATAGGCAAAGTGAACAAAAAAGACGAAAAAAAAATAGTGAATCTGTTTTCGCGGAATCCTGCTTTAACACTGCGGCAAGGACAAGCAAAATTAGGGTCTACGCACAATAGGAAAAATATTAGGAACAGATATTAAATATAATAATTTTAACCTGTTAGAAAGCGCACATTCCACAGTACACAGTTCTGATAGGTTAAAATTCTTACATTTAATATCTGTTCCTAATATTTCTCCTATTGTGCGCAGACCCTTAAAGTCAAAAGGTTTAGATATATCGTACGAAACTATCCGAACTCATCTCCGTGCTCATGACCTGAAATTTCGCAACACAATGAAGAAGCCTCTGTTGACTGAAAAACATGTGACGAAGTGACTCGCTTGGGCGCATGAGAATCGATAGAGATTTTGATAATGTAATTTTTCATCGAAAATGTGTGGGCATGTATTAAGCAGAAGCTTCGTGGAAAACGCACACACACTTTGAAGCAGTTATCTTGCGAAATTCGTCGGATCTGGAGATCGTTGCCACTAGAATACGCCGTCAAATTAATTGAAAGCATGCCTCGGAGATGCCAGGCAATTATCGACGCCGGTGGTGACTGGACACATTATTAACATAATTGCATCATTGTTTGTATTGAGTACAATGTATATATAAATATAAAATTTTCATTTAATAAATTTTTTCATAAATTTACTCGACCACGCTCTTACTTGACTGACTGTACGTAAATCAACGTTAACCCCTGATCTACAATAGATGTTTTAAGCCTTAAGCCGTAAGAAATTAACTAATTATAATCGAATTCGAGGAGAATAATCGATTATGATTCGTCCATTTCTTATGGAATAGATCCGAGATAATATATAAATAATTCTTGCGCAAGAAAAGTTCTTATCAAAATATATACGATCAAAGAGAACAATATAAAATTAAGAATCCTCTTGTATATAATTTTGTTAATTATTTCATCATTTACAAGCTTTTTACTACAAAAAACAGTTAAAAATTTAAATTTAAAAGAATAGATTGATTCCTCCTTCCTCTTTTTCTCTCTTCCTTCCAACTCTCTCTCTCTCTCTCTCTCTCTCTCTCTCTCTCTCTCTCTCTCTCTCTCTCTCTTGCTCTTCTCACTCTCCCTCCCTCCTTCCTCTCTCTCTTTCTCTAAGAAATTACCTGGTAACTAAGAAAAAGAATCGAAAAAATCGATCCTTTCTTTTCTAATTCATACACGATTAAGAATCAAACCTAAAAGGATGGATCGATTCTGAAGTTTATCAGACAAAATGTCCGAACTTTTGTTTAAAAAAAAAAATTTATAAAAACAAGAAATCGCATTTTTTTTGTAACCTAAATCGTTTTACTACCTAATAGTTACTTAAAAATAAAATTATCTTATATATAAAAATTATATAGGAAAAATTTTTTTAATTTTATCTATAGATTAATATAGAATTAATCTTCTTTATCTTATCTAAGATACATTTTTGTGTGATTTATGATTTATCTTACCTATATCTAGTAGATAATTTTTAATTATCTAAGCGCAACACTGTCATCTCATAATCTCTATCGTCGTAACCAATTAATTATACGCTGTTAATCGTACGGTGTTAATTTAACGATAATAAAAAATAGAATCATCATGGAATATAATGATTTTTACACACGCCATAATTTTTATAACTTTTTCTTACGATAAAACGTACTTGTTTCTAAACAAACCAAATTGCTATGATATGACAAAGATAATATCAACTAATATAATTCGAATAATTAATGGAAATTTAAGATACTAAATATATTATTTTTCTGAAGTATACATATATAGGATATTGTCTTTCACAAGCATATTTCTCACAATCATGCTAATATGTAATATAAAATATTATTTAAATTTAATTCTATGAGGGGCAAAACCTGTTGCAATAAAAGTTATACCATCGATATGACTTAATCGATCAACGATTCTCACTGGCAATTGTTATAACTCTATTAATTTACTTTTAAACAATGGTTCCTTAATTTAATCTACCTACAAAGATGTTTCGAACATGTATTCACCATTGAATTGGTAAATATAATTCTAACACATCAACTGCGATATACGCTGGATTAGTTTTAATTGTAATTATAGTTCACGCTAACGATTAAACATCAGTTCATGCTTGTAATTCGCTCGAGAAAGATGCAGCTGAAAGTACAATGTCTTCGTGGCTTATTCTATCTGACATTGATGCTTTTATTGCATAGCTGGTTTGTCACGAGCATTAATGCATATCCAACATATCCACTACAGCTTATTAATCCATGGATAATAAAACCATTACAAACATTACCAAAAATGGTGAAAGCAAAGAAGTCCACTTGTGGCCCAATTAGCTACAGACGTGAGTAAAGAAATGAAATTTATTTTTTATCTATTATTAGTATATATCTATTATTTCTCTGATTGTGCCTGGAAATGTGTAGACAAAAATATTTAAAAATATGATAGAGTATCTGTCCCTATTACTGTGTGTGTTCATATTAATGCGCATTTGTATTTAAATAAACTATAAAGAAAGCTATAGCACATAATAAATACAAAAAAATATTGTTTTATTAAGTTAAACTATTAATTAAGTTATTAAGTATTTATTATAAGTTAAATTATTAATGTGTACAATATATCAAAAATAAAATTATATTTTTTAACTAACCCTTTGTGTTCATAAGAAGACTTTCAGAATTTTATCTTTCTTTGCTCAGTTTTTAATTATTTTGATGAATTTCTTGACATTAAGTACCGCAAGTTTTCTTGTTTTCGTAGAGTTCTTAGAACATGAACAAGTGTTAAAAAATAAGCAATTTTTATTTGCATAATTATTATAACTAAACAAATATTTAAAATGTATACTTTTTTGAAACAACAATTTGGGCACTCACATTTAAGACATTTTAAAGTTTTTTTTCAGAAATTTCTCACTTTTTTACTGCGTTTTTGAAAATTAAAAACCGATAATCTAAAAAATATGAAAAAAAGAACACTAATAAGGATATATAGTTACCCTATTTATATTCATACAGTTGATTCATGGTCTCAATACAATAATCCTGAAGAAGGAGTACAACAAGAAGGAGATATACATCGGAGATCGAGAAAAACTATTACAACCGAGAAAACTTTACTATGGCCTAATGGTATCGTGAATTACTACGTTCATTCATCCATAGGTAAATCGTTTCTGCAAATTTAAATTGAAATAGTAATCTACACTAAGATAAGCTTATGAAACGTTTATGTATTTCAGTAAAAATCAAATATTACATATTTAAGAATTGTTTATCAGACCTATTATAAATATTTAAGGATTTATTATCCATTCCAGTTAATGAACCAATAAAATTCGCTATGCTGGAGACTGCGTTACAAATAATAATGTTGAAAACATGCATTAAATTCGTCCGTATTGAAGAATACGCAAAGCTTTCAGCAAATAGTAGTTGGGTCAATGTCACAGGTCATGATAAGGGTTGTTACTCTGATATAGGATATAACGTACACGGGCCTACTACTCTAAATCTAGACATAAAGGAATGCTTCCGCACAATTGGACACTCAATACACGAAATGTTACACACTTTAGGTGTATATCATGAGCATATGAGACCAGATCGCAACAATTACATCACCATAATATGGGAAAATATGAGAAAGGGTAATCAGTACAGTATATAAATTAATACTAAACTAAAAGATTCTTACAAATATAATTCTTACAGGAGATGAATTCAACTTCCAGCTATTAAATAATAGTATTGTGACTAATTATGGATTACCATATGATTACGATAGTATAATGCATTATTCCATGACAGCATTTTCTACTGATCGATCATTTCCTACAATAATACCTAAGGTAATATCAATTTTCAAATACAATATAAAAAAAATTGTAAAAATTAAATAAAATTTTTAATACACTCTCTCATCAACAAAATTAACGCAATTAACATCTGTTTTACCGTGTAAAAATAGGCAAATTTCAAGATGTAAAATGCTTTTTTAAACATCTCGATATGAGGATTTTTCACGAAGTTGTTCCATCTTGAAATTTGCCTATTTTTACATGATAGAACAAATGTTGCTTTAATTTCATTGGCGAGTTTGATTTATGATTTTTAGCCGAATATATATAATTTTATTGAGTCAATAATAAAAATTCTTCTCTACAGAATTCTTATGTGGAGATTGGTCAAAGAAGTCACTTATCATATTACGATATACAAAAATTGCTAATTGCTTATAACTGCACGGCCAGTATATATACTAACAAATTAAAAAAGAAACCGAACTTGGACAAACTTAAGAAGCTGGAGAAACTTCCTAAAAAATTACAAGATACTAGTCGTTGAAACAAAAATAAATCACAAATTCCGACCATCATTATAAATAATTCAATATTAAATGAATTAAATAACAAAAAGGATCTAGAAAAGTTAATGGATAGATTTATATATATATGTATATATACATATATACAGGGTTGGGAAGAAACGCGTTACTTGTAACGGCATTACCGTTTTCGTTATTTTTTTCAGTAACGATCGTTACTTTTTTCTGTCTGTAACAGTAACGGTAACGAATTTAGTCGTTACTTTAGTTTCCTATTCAATAGATCGCTCACTGATTGCGCGTATTTTTCTTTTTAAGTATAAAATGTGCATGGAGTTGTGTACTCTTTAGTTTATTTTTAATATGAAATGAATGACTTTCTTCTCCATGTCGAAGCGTTAAATTTTAAGAATTTTTCATTTCAAATTTGTTTATGCCAAATTTCAATATTTTGTACTTTGTCTATGTCAAATTTCAAGATTTTGTACTTTGTACTCCTAACATAACCAAATTATGTGCAATAAATGCAATTATAAAATATTTATTGTTTTATTTTATAATCTATTCTTAATTTCTTTTAAAAATATTTTCTAATAATTTTTATCATTATAAAAAAAAGTAACGAATCGTTACATTTTAAGTAACGGTAACGCGTTTTTTTGAGGTAACGCGCACAACTCTGCATATATATATATATATAAAATGAAAAATAGCTTTCTCTCAAACTATATACCCTACTCAGTCTAATTATTATAAATAATATATGCACACCTTACTCTAAAATATCTATAATTTTTATGCAAATATATGACAGAATAAATATAATTTTTAAGTAAAAAATGAATTTTATTGAAGCTAATAAAAAATATATACATACATCATTTTACAAATCTAAACGCTCGATTTGTATTATCATCAATATGATTATTGGCTGCAGAGATACATAAATCTTTAAATAAATTTCGTTTTCATCGTGATTTTTATAATCAGTTTACAGTTAGTATTCTTTACTTTTGTTTTTTCGCGCACGTTTGTGATCACTATGCTTTGAATAATGTCTTTCTGATGATTTATCGCGATCTTCAGATTTATGTTTCTTTTCATGATATTTATCTTTATGTTTATTTTTGCTTCGATATTTGTCTTTTTTGTGTGACTTCCGTTCTCTTGAATATGATGAACTTTCTGTATTTTTATATTCATGCTTGTGTTTTCTGTCTGTTTCATCTGAATATCTTTTTTGTTTGTCTCGATCTCTTAATCGATGATAATTTCTTTCTTCTGAATGCTCTCTTTTTTTCTTGTGGTGATGACCATTTCTTTCTTTAGAATTATATTCATCACTGTTGTGGGAAGAAGAATGAAATATTTTGTATAAGCGATCAGTTCCATCTTGTATTTGTTCATAATTTAAATTATCTGTTTCTGTATTTCGAACATCGTGTCCAGAATTACTTTGTCCAGAAATATAATCTACAAATACTTCCATTTGTTGATTAATCACTTCTCTGAGAATTTCAATGTAGGATCTTTTGTTTGTATGAACGCCTTTATGCTTTGCTCGACGTCTTTTCAAGTTGCGCTCTTGTATTAACAGCTCCAAAAATGACAATTCTTTATCTGCTTTTTCTTGTGGTTCCCTAGAAAAACAATTTACAATAAACTTGATATAAGAGAACATAACATATATACTAACACAGACATTACACATATTAATTATAAATATTAGTTGAAATTTTAAAAACTCACAAATTATTAATGTTTGTAATGTCTTCTCCATTGTCTGGCTTTGCAGTATTAGCAATGACATAGTCATATAGCGCTTTCTTTTCGTCACTGGTGAAATCTATGACAATCCTATCAGATGTACGCGGTACTAACCGCTTACCCATACCTATTATCAGTGTTAAGAATTTACATTCTTCATAGTTATACAATATAATCATAAAAGATAAAATAATAAAAGCTTCTTGCAATATTAAAGTAATAGTTATACAATTTTTTTTCAATTGCATTACTAAATAGGAAAACTAAATGAACAATTATTAAATTACATTTTTGCATTATGGTTATAAAATATTAAATAAAGGATATGTAAAAGGATATATTGATTCTGCACCGTAAGTATAACAATCATAACTTGCTGTGGAAAAAATTGCATTGTCATTTAAAAGACATACAAATGCATACAATTGCTATGTTTTTACTAACCAGTTTGCATCGCTGAATTTTGATCTTTAGCGTTCCTAAGAATTTGTTCTTGCAGTTGCTCATCTATAACAAATATTTTGTAGAGGTATAAGAAGTTAGTATAATTCCAGAAGACTAAAGCCTGAGACATAATGCAAGGGAATAGCGATAGCAATAAGAACAACACAGTTTCAACCTATCAAAACCTATATATTCTGATATATCCGATTTCTGATAAGGAATAATGACACTGAAAGGAATAACACAGTTGAAACTGTGTTATTCCTATCGTTGTCACTATTCCCTTGCATTCGATCTTGGGCTTTAAAGCACTCATCCTATAGAAGCTTCTTACCAAACTTTATACAGAATGGTGAATCTTCTAGTAGAGTTGGTTCTGATAATGGGACATCTAGCTTTCCATAACCTTCAGCTTTCCATTGACAAGAGACAAGATGATCATTGAGAGAGCCTTCTGTTAATCGGTGGGATGAATCGTATGGACATGTGAAATATTCCTTGTCCTACATAAATACAATAGTTAAAAATAATATATAAGAAAAAGATATCCACATTATACTTACTACATTTGTTATACTGTCCACGCTCCAACCTAAAGTTTCAACGATATTGGTAATTTCTTCATTAACTGTATCGGTAAAGCTCTTCAGTTCCTTCAATTGTTGCTTACGAGAGTCATTTATATTCTTTAACATGTTGATTTCTATATCTCGCATGAGAATTTAAATAAACAGTTAAGACATCGTATGTTTCTCTTAGTTCATGTATAGATCCTTGTATAAAATTAGGACTATATCAGAAGAAGGTAATTATTTTTTTAATAATTATTTAATTTAATTTTTTTTTTTGTGCTAATTCCATTAAATGCTTCAACTCGTTCTTTCAGATCATATGACACAAAGAAGATATAAATTTTGTTAAAACTATGTCGGATTAAGGTTAGAATGCAAACTGCAACTACGCAAATATAATACCAGCTGCACACCAGCGCGATGTTAGTCGCGCGCGACACGCGATATCCAATGAGCATCTAGCTTTAAGCTGGAAACACAATGCGAGGGAATAGCGATAGCGATAAGTTTCAACCTATCAAAAATGTGTATTCCGGTGTATTCAATTTCTGATAAGTTGAAACTTATCGCTATCGCTATTCCCTCGCATTGTGTTTCCAGTTTTAAGGCCGCAGCACACACTTTTGTATAACGCATAAACCAATACATAAAGAATTTGATTGGTCCATTGACTCATACATAAGAAAATGGGCCAATGAAATTCCTTATGCACATGCTTTATGCGTTATGCAAAAGTGTGTGCTGCTGCCTTTAGTATGAGAACATCGGTAAAAAGAAGGGAAGATGAACCAACGCGCATAATGGCTGCCAAGCAATAAGAAAGCCAATCAGATTTCTGTCCAAAATGCGGCACGAAATTCAAACACTGAATCGATGTATACAAATCGATATATACAATGTATATATACCATCATTACACCATAATGTGTATACATTGCTTTTCCGTTCTGAAATTCAATACAAGACAGTAAAATTTAAATTTCGGAACGATAAAAATCAATCATTTTAGTAACAGCAGTGCCAATACTTCCAGCTAATTTCAGAACGTGCATAAAGTATAATCACACATAAGGCGTAAGAAATTCAACCAATTGGAGTTTTTTATTTCATAGAAAGAAAGGAAACGAAGAACTTTGATTGGTACATTTTCTTATGCATTGGTCGCGTTCAGCAGACTCAACAGTTTTACAACTGTTTTATGATTCTTTGCTGAGATAGAACTATTCCTTTAGATCTAAAATTATAATCCAATCAGCAAGACGAATTACAAAACGGTTGCAAAACTGTTGAGTCTGCTGAACGCAGCCATTATGTATTAAGCTATATCCACACAACTTGCATAACCGCATAAACGTATGCATAATGAAAATTATCCAATCACATTTTACGTGCATCTCTATAAGGGAAATGCGATTGGATAATTTTCTTTATGCATGCGTTATGCACTTATGCAAGAGTCTGTGCTCTCCGTCAAAGCCTATTCTACAATGACCGCAAGAAGTAAAAATTGACCAATCGTAATCGAATATGAGGAGAATAATCGATTACAATTGGTAAATTTTTAAGGCTTACGGTCATTGTAGAATATACTTAACTCGACACGCACTCTTATTGCGATCGTTGAGATGAACCGTGGCCACGCTGCACGCGCCAATTTTGAAGCATCTCGGCCGCTTCTCTCATGACTTGTACATGTAATTTTTCACGTTATTCATCCAAATGTATGTAGAGAATGTCGAATAAGATGTGGCTCATCACTATAGTTTACTAATGCCCATTTCCACCACTAAATTAACTTTAATTTCGGTTTAATTTGCACTTCGTCTTTTTCTAGTTCTAAAAATTAGAACAAAATGAACAGTAAATTAAACCGAGATTAAAGTTAATCTATACATTGGTGGAAACGGGTATAAGAAATACGTAGAAAGCATGTTTTCAGTTGTTATCTTAATTTTAAATTTAATAATTATTTGTATTTTAAAGTATTATTGATTTCGAGATCGCGCATGCGCGTGCGCAGCGTGGCCGGCCGCCATGACAGTTTTATTCAGATCGGAGTATCGGTTCGGAATTATTCCGTAATTAATCGCGAATTTCGTCCGTCAAGAATGCACGATATGTGCGAGTTTCTGTCGGGAAGTCGACCAAAGTGACGGGTCATCGCCGGAAGATATTGATTAATAGCATTAACACGGACTGTCGTGATCATAGCCATTTCATCGATCGTTTGACGTTATGCCGTACTTTGTAAGAATCGTAATCAACATATAGTTTTAGTAAACACACAGATTCCGACGGTATTATAGATTGTAAAATCGCACTTACGTTCTTCCGAGAAATTTGAAGCGAGATATATTTTTTCTTTAAATGTAATGTACGTGTTGAACATTTAAGTCGTAGTTCATTATATCATATCATATATTATGTACGCCTGTTGCACCTAACAGAAAATCCATTGCTGAATATTAATTAACGTATGATATAACTATCAGTAGTATGAATGTTCCGTCAAATAAACTTTGTGCGATTGTAAATATTATTGCACTGAAAAAAACTTACTGAATTTTATTAAAAATTTGTTTGAAAAATACTATAATGAAATGTTTACTAAATGTAAAAAGGGACGCATATTTATTTAATTTAAATATAATTTTTTATTTTAAATGTATGTATATTCATTTACTGTAAGTAAATATTTTATTGGTACTATTCAAACACAGATATTTAATAAAATTTAGTAAATTTTTTTCATTGTGAATCTGTCATTATGATTATGTTCAGAAACATCATAAGTGCTCCTAAATATAATTTTATAAATATTTGACAATCAGTAAACAACAAGGATAAAATATTGTAATAGGAGCATTTATATGGTTTCTGAATATAGCCTAGATCGGCACTCTTAATTTGTTCTTATTCCAAGATGATCTTAACATAAGAACCGATTATGAATACCAGTCTGTGATTGACTTATGACTTCTTAAGACTGTACTTGAGACAGTCTTAAATGTAAGAACTGATTTTAAATGCCGGCTTAATGTAAACATGCAACAGTTTCGTCGTTAGACACACTCGTGCAATCGTAGTATCATTAAATACAACATATTATGCTAACATATAACAATTCTATTATGAAATTATATAGTAACTACATATTATTTTCATAAATTTTTGACAAATAAATTATTTGTATAAATTTAAAGTATACAGCATTTGTATATTCGAATATATAAGCAATATTTATATGTATGTATAGTAATTGATAGCATTTATGCAAGCAGTAATTGATATTTGTATATATAGTAATTGACAATGATCATTTATCAATATGATCATCGTTATCAGTTAATTGCTTTGTAGAAACCCGAAATCATTGTAGTTAATGCTGCGATTTTTATTTCTAAATTATATGCATAAATTAAAATTTGTGGTATTTTAAATATGTATGTATATATATACTACACACACATACACACATGCACGCACGCACGCGTGCACATTTATTGCGGTAGAGTGGTTACCATTATTTGTGCGATTACTACTGGTAGTTATTCAATAAATTAATCAATAAATTCAATAAATTAATCAATAAATTCAATAAATTATTCAATAAATTAACAAACATATATATATATAATAATTAACATATATAATTAATAAAATTGTTGTTTTTTTGTTACTGAAAGCAATTGTCGTTAAAATAAATATGTAATATTGTATAATATATGTATACGATATGTTAAGAAAACTATTGAATAAGTCTATCTATTGGATTGACGCAGTTAGCAGTGGCAAATTTAAAAATTAGAAGTGCAATTTGGTGTCTTTACTATAATATATTAAGATCTTAAGCTCTTGCCAATTGTGTTTAATGGAATATCTTGCATCAAGTGTCCGTGATAATATAATAGTATCAATTATAATTTGTGCGCGGACACGCGTTGCAAAATAAAAAGAGAATTTTATCTTGTTTTTCGCATGTTACTAATTGACAATATCGTGACGTAAATATGATTTTCGTATTTTTTCGAAATGTACGTATTAAGTTTCGAAGTTCGTATAATTGTGCTTATTTTTGTAGAAAATACTTGTATCTGGAATTCATTGTTTCCTCGATGGAGCTGTGCTGATCATTCCTGAGGTAGAAATTGCAATGGGTGAAGCATACTGCAGTACGACAGCTATAGTGAGTATATAAGATTAGTTATTTATTAATTATACAATATATCATATTTATTGTACATAACTGTGATTACATACATATACACAATTGATATTATATTATATATTAAATATAAAAAAAAATATGTTAATATATCTGTTAGAAATGATTGTTATATTTTATACGTAAAATTTTTATTAAACGTTCATAAAAATATTTAATCGCTGCAATATATATTGAATCAGTAAAAATAAAAAGGATGTTAATAACATATATAATTAAATTTCCGAAATTAATATTTAAAAATTTTTTGAATTTTAATTTCCAATTCAAAATTTTTTTTAATTATATTTGAAAACATTTTTTAATGGAACTTCAATAATTTGTAGATAAAAAATTCTGAGATATGAATGACTAAACCGAAAAATATTAAAATAAAACATTTAATTAAAAATATAATAACATAATAAATTATATGTA